TTTTGCATTCGATCAGTTGCTTCCAAGCGAGCTGTTATGCAAAAGTTTGATATTAAATTATTGCAATCAAACAAAGCGATCTTATTCGTGTGCAAATTAACGCCTCATTGTTCCCATGAGAGAATATCTTCACTACATTGCGAACGTGCAATATATTTCAAGGTCACTCTCACTCCCTTTCGCAATGTTGCGTTAACTAATTTAAACGATAATGACCGTCAAAATATAGGCCAGTTTTTGAGTCACATGAAAAGTTGGATGATTGTGGGCAAAACAGTGGAAATCCTTAATGTAGACAAAGTTTATGCATACGTCTTTCGATTTTGAAACTTTACGTAGATCAATTTGATTTAGTTATGTGATGAACACTTTCAACGTGGATAACATTTTCGACTGAGAGAATTTGCATAGCGGAGAGGAAAGTTTCAGGCAAGTGAATGCACCACACGAAGAAATGGCTGCAAAGGTATGCATCGAACGTACCAAGCACAAGAATGCCGGTATAAGAAAGTATGGATTTTTCGACCAGAACGCAGCAACTATGCCAACAATGGCGGCCAGCTCAAGAGCCGCATAGCACCAGTAGAGAACACGCATACCAAGCGTCATATCCATGAATAACGAAAACCATAAGTCGTTGACTAGACGATAGAGAATCCATCCGAGTACGGCGAATATTAACTTCTGCAAAGGTGTTTTCAAATCTCCATCATGAGTCACAAACACACAGCGCAAACTGTAACACTTTTCATTTTTTTACGATAACTTGAACTGATCCTCTGCGCGATTTCCGATTGCGTCGAACATTGTTGCGCAAGGGATTGAATGGACGACATTCCACATTCATTCAACTGTTTGTGAACACAGTGAAATCTTAGTTGAATTCATAATTCGTAACGAAGAGATCAACGCAGTTCGTATCCTCATCCGCATCTTTGAATTCATTCAAACCGCTCCAAAAATGAGGTTCACAATGCTCTCTCAAATCTGGTCACTTTGAAATCATGATAATTGAAATGGCATAAGAAAGCTGCTGAAATTGCTCATAGTCGATGCGATCAATGAACATCAAGCAATACAGCTGAAATGTATTCTGCTACTTCTATCCAACAGTTTCAGCCCAATATAGATGATAAAAACAGAAAGGGACAAGAGAATATTCAAATAACTAACTCTGCAATGAATCCGAGCCAAGTAAAAAAAGCCGGCTTGATGATTGAAGTTGGCCGTATCCGTGGTAAGCATGCCTACTCTCTGCATGTCAATGTATGATTAGACACTGGTGAATGCTCTAAATCTCTTTATAAAAACATCTACATAAATAACCAGAAAGAACGTGTTTTTCGAATTCAATAATAAGCAACGATCATGTGACATTTCGGTATTCAGTTACGCCATCAGACTCGTTCTTTGTAAATAAACAACACATCATCTATAGCTCAGTATCATAACATCAAATTCTTTGCATACTTCCTTTAGTGATCCTTTAACAAACAATCGAATATGTTCATCAAATCGTTGTTGCGTTCACCTGCTCAACCAACAATAGCAATACTAAGAATAAAATAACCACATTTCTAATGCTAATTAAAAAATCAAGCACTTACTAACAATAATACCGAATTACTAACAGTTACTAACAATAAACAATACTGCCCTCAATTGTGCCTAGTGATAATTGTGTTGCACACTCTTAGAAAACTTTTCTAGTCTGTTCTGTTTAGCCCGTAAGCTGTTCTGTTCCATTTTGCTCTATCTGTCGTTTTTTATGGAACTATTCCTTGAAATAAAACAGAAATGGATCAGTTTGACAGAAACAAAAACATGGTTATTATACTTTCATCAATGAATTAGACGTATGTTTTCTTCAACATGAACCGTAGTAAACTATGAACTACTCAAGGAAATTTTGAAGTAAACTAAAATTAGAATGGTTTACCAAAGCAAGAAGGCACGAGTGACGCAATACTTCGTGAAGTTTGTACAATCCGCAGACGGACAATTTTTTCTGAACTTTCACGTGACACTATACATCAATCTATACATTACTAAAGCACTACAGAGATCACCATATTCAACCTAACGGTACTCTAATGATTGCCCAGTAACATATCAACTTCTTGACACCATTCACTTAACGAGAACCTCTATGTTCAGAGCATCATACATATTGCCAAGTAATTGCGCTTACTTGAGAAGATATAGCTATTTTCTCAATTCTATACGGGTTGCTATCTTCGAGCCTACCNATCCGCTTTCTTGAGAAGATGTGAAATAAACGATGTTCACAGCGCTGAATATATTTGTCTTCAATAAACTTTACAGTTTATCAACGTCGAACAATAAAATATGTAAATTCAGTCAACTTCCAAGTCACTTCATCGACTGCACTTAATATGCATGGATTTTGTGTTTCATAAGTCATGAAGCTTAGCTGAAGTATTGTTTTGTTCAGTTCGGTAAGCTAACAAACATGTTGATCTCGCTTTCACGAATAAGCCATATAAATCTCAATGAGCCATATAAACAGTTATACATTTTGATGGCAATAATTTAAGGATTTAATGCTGGGAAAGTGACGACGTTTCCTGGTTTCTGCTCGAACTTTAGCGAAATCAATTATCAACTTCGTTATCGAGAGAATTGCGGAACAGTATATCGGTGATGTGATCAAAACTTCGTTGTCATTCAGAATGTGATTATATTGCAGTTTGCATTGCGCTTCTGATGCGAAAACTCACAGTTTGCGATTTATTAAAGAGCTACCACGTGATACAATGAAATATCCAGAAAGAAGTGCATTAATGTGCAAAGGTGGTCGAGAAGAAAACTGATGAAAGTCGGCAGAAACATTGCGAAAATGTTGTTATCACAGCAACCGTTTCAGTTATCACGATGAATCGGAAGGTAATTTCGCGTAATTCGTACTGACAGCGTGTATCATCCATTTATTTTCTGCATTTTTCCTCCACACTTTCAGAGACATCCCATTGCCTGTCATCTTGCTGTTTTTCCAAGTCACATTGAATGTATAACGCTCGAAAGCCCATTTATCGTTTCCATTTATCTCATCAACTCTGGCCTGAATTAAAATGTTATCGCTATTGATCACAATATGTTACAAATGCAAACCCATAAGTAAGAGCATTATTTTTTGGCCGAGTTTCGTACAGTGAATCTTGGATGGGACATCTGTTTCGTCTTGTGGGTGTATAGTTATTTCGGCAGAAATCCGGCGAAGTTCGGAAAAACGGCCAGAACACACGAATTTTAAGGCATTAAGAACTTAAGTATTCACTCTCACGTTGTCTGCATAACAGGCTATTTATAACCAGACACATGTGTAGCATCCGAGCCTGGAATTAAATTCCACTGATCGCTCACCGTTGTGGTATTACATCATCATCTCTCACCAACAACTCATGATGTAGGCGTCTAATCAGCAAATTCCCTTTGCAGATTGCTAAAGAACCTAAAGACAGCTTT